GTGCAGAAAAGGGAGATTTGCTCCAAGTGTACTGTGGCAAGGCCCAAAAGTAAGAGGAGTTTCTGATTAATAGAAATAAGATTGAAAGAAACAAAGACCTATAGGCAAAAAAAGAAAAAGAAAGTGGAGAAGAGAGAGGAGGACGCTGAGAGCAGGAAGGGAAGCAGCGAGGTGGCAGCTGGAACGGGCAGACACATGAGGAGAATCCCAATAACCTGCTGTTCTTTCCTTGAGAGCAGGGATAATACACTGTGTACAGAGTGTTCAAGTGCTAGCATACAAGGCATGTTAGGTCTGATGGGAGGACTGTGTTTGTGTGATGCTCTTTGTGTGTGGTTTTCTTACTTTGTGATTGTATTTAAACAAATGTGTCAGAGGATGTCACATGTTTGGTTTCGTTTGTTTTTTCAGCCTGGATTTGTGCCTCTCCAGGCATGCATTTTCTCATTAGGGGAAGGACTGTGTGATGTTAGGTGTGCAGTGCTGCTTTTTTTCTTTAGAAGTCACCTAATTAATTCATCTAAGTATGAATTCATCCCCATACACAGTTCAACTGGGAAAATCTGTCAACAACAAAAAAAAACCTCATAGACACAAATGTGGTCTTAATGGCTATGAGACCAGCATTTTTAAAATATGGGTTGTTTTTGTTGTTTCCCGGCCTGTATTTGTACCTCTTCCAGGCATGTATGTTCATTAATTGAGGATTGTGTGACGTTAGCTCTGCAGTGCTGCTCTTGACCAAGAGAAGTCACCCTTGTGCTGTAAAACTACTGCCACATGTTACCGGACAGACACAGAGAAACACAGAAAGCAGGTCTGTTTGTTAGTTAACTATCTGAAAGATTATGAGCATGGTAAACATTTAGGTTAGGTTTTGTGCAATTAAGAAATTAAAATAAGAAAAAACATTTTGACTGGATACATTAGGAAATAGGAATCTTAGCTTGGTTGAGGTGATAGATCATCACCTGTTGCAAGATTTTCATTCAACCTGATCTTCAATAGGGATCATAATTGCATATAGATATAGACTCCATCTTGTAAAATACAGTTGGTGGCAACAATTTATAAAAAAAAAACAACAAAAAAAAAAAACACCAGGCTAACATCTTGAGAAATAATGAATCGGCAATTAGCAGCAATTTCGTGGATTCAGGAATTAAAAGTGAAGATTTTTTTCTTATCTAATCCAAGCATGAGAATGAGGAATAACTGATCTAAATAGCTACATGAATTGTCTTGTTGATGTAAAGGACAAAAAAAGTGGAAGTTTAGTGATTTAAACAAAAACCCTACACAACTTATATACAGAGAACAGGACATAAAACAGGCAAATCACGGGGAGAATCCAGCGTATATCAATGAAAACAAATGAGCCTATATATAGAGGTAAGAGTGAAGAGCGACATTGAATGCAGGTGAGTTAATCAGAGGATTAGGAACAGCTTTGGAGAAGAGTAAAAAGGCAGACTGAGGGAAGATAAATAATTAATATAAACTAAGCCAAACTAGAAACAAGGAGCCACAAACCAAGCAGAAAATATACCAACAATGATCCTGAGGATAACATAAAATAAACAAATAATAGAATGTGGCAGGACCACTGACAAATAACAATCTCCAAATTAGCTAAATAAAAACAACAAAACACCCAGGAGGTCTTTAAAAATCATCTCAAACTCTGTAAGCATCACTCACTATAGCTACAATCAGTGTTTCCTGATTCCATGAGAGGAAACAGACTGAGCTGAAATGACAAACAAGGGAGCTTTCTAAGGCCACATCTGCAGAGAGCTAAAAAGGGAACAAACAACTATCTGGCTTTTGCCAAAAATCATAACTAGTGAGAAACTACTCTCAGGGTAAGTAATATCTCTTTACAATTCGATACTGACCAGTTGTTGTTCAACTATGTGCTGAAGTTTAAATTTGGCCTGTTTTGCACCACTTATCATATCCACCTGCTTGTCCAAAAACAACTGCAACAGCTAGTTACTTTCATTGTTCATCTGCTGATCTGATTATAGAACAATGACAATCCTGCACTCGCCTGAATCGAATTCAGCAGCAGGGATCTGTACACAGCTAAATAACTCAATCATAAAGAGTTATGCTTCTTCCCAACTGCTGTGTTCCAGTAAGGAACATCATCTGCTCTGCCATTCATGCCTGCAGTGCAGTCTTTGAGAAAACTGTTTTTTATTAGAAAATAATATCAGTTTAACATCTTTATCTACCTTTTAACTATATCATAACTTGTCGTGACATTGTCCTATTCGAAAGCAACTAACTTACTTTACTGAAGATTTCCTTCCCATGTATACTTTTGCCATTTTCAATACATGTAGTTTGTACTGAACAATAAAAAAACCCACCAAAGTAAAACATTTTATGGTTTGTTTTTCTCTTTTTTTTTTTTTTTTTTTTACTTTTAATGGTCAAAGGCTCTGAGTTATACTAGAGGTCATTCCATTAAGTTATTAGTACAGGTTAAGATTGCATTAAGCCTAACTGTTGTCACTATGTTAAAAGTCATTTGATATTTGCTATTGCAATACCTTTAGATATTATATAGTGGTGTCAATCCTTTGAATGCACGTTTGAATGTACAGGGCTCTCTGTATGTTGACAGATTTTGATTTAATAAACATACAAACCTTGATGTTTGCTGTTTATGTCAGTTTGTTTACTGAATTACTCCTTCACAACATGAATATACTTAAAATTATTGAGTAGTGTAACTTTAATCAAAGTTAGATTGTTATTATTAGTAACATAAATTTAGGAAAATCATTATTATTCCTGCAAAAGCATGCTGTAGTTTATGAGGCCAAGTCTGGAGTTTGATGAAATCGGTGAGTGTTCTTCTAAAAGATAGCTCAGTTTTATCCCTGAGGCAGTTTCATGCAACTCAGGTTGCTACGTGTCAATTTGTCTTCAGGCTGCTAGATCTTTTTACCTTGAACTGCGAAAGAAGGAGTTTAAGCCTTAATGCAAGGCTTAGTTTGTACCCAGTTGGTATCTTAACAAAAAATGTTATGCAAAACATAATTCCATGTCAAACTCAAAAAATAGATGCAGCTTAATAGCTGCAGAAAGATAGATGGGTGGATGGCTCCAAGAGGTAAATGCTAAAAAAGAATAAAAAATTTAAGTGATGCGGCATTCTATTTGGTACAAAACATACTATTTTCCTAATTTTCTATATTTATATTTTTATATATATATATATATATATATATATATATATATATATATATATATATATATATATATATATATATATATATATATATATATATATATATATATACAGGTGCTGGTCATAAAATTAGAATATCATGAAAAAGTAGATTGATTTCAGTAATTCCATTTAAAAAGTGAAACTTGTATATTATATTCATACATTACATACAAACTCATATATTTCAGATGTTTATTTTGTTTAATTTTGATGATTACAAATGACAACAAATGAAAATCTCAAATTCATCATATCAGAAAATTAGAATATTGTGAAAAGGTTCAAAATTGATGGCCCCTGGTGCCACACTCTAATCAGCTAATTAACTCAAACCACCTGCAAAAGCCTTTAAATGGTCTTTCAGTCTAGTTCTATAGGCTACACAATCATGGGGAAGACTGCTGACTTGACAGTTGTCCAAAAGACGACCATCGACACCTTGCACAAGGAGGGCAAGACACAAAAGGTCATCGCTAAAGAGGCTGGCTGTTCACAGAGCTCAGTGTCCAAGCACATTAATAGAGAGGCGAAGGGAAGGAAAAGATGTGGTCGAAAAAAGTGTACAAGCAAGAGAGATAACCGCACCCTGGAGAGGATTGTGAAACAAAACCCCTTCAAAAATGTGGGGGAGATTCACAAAGAGTGGACTGCAGCTGGAGTGAGTGCTTCAAGAACCACCACACACAGACGTATGAAAGACATGGGTTTCTGCTGTCGCATTCCTTGTGTCAAGCCACTCTTGAACCACAGACAGCGTCAGAAGCGTCTAAAGAGAAACAGGACTGGACTGCTGGTGAGTGGTCCAAAGTCATGTTCTCTGATGAAAGTAAATTTTGCATTTCCTTTGGAAATCAAGGTCCAAGAGTCTGGAGGAAAAGAAGAGAGGCACTTCATCCACGTTGCTTGAAGTCCAGTGTAAAGTTTCCACAGTCAGTGATGGTTTGGGGTGCCATGTCATCTGCTGGTGTTGGTCCATTGTGTTTTCTGAGGTCCAGGGTCAACGCAGCCACATACCAGGAAGTTTTAGAGCACTTCATGCTTCCTGCAGCTGACCAACTTTTTGGAGATGCAGATTTCATTTTCCAACAGGACTTGGCACCTGCACACAGTGCCAAAGCTACCAGTACCTGGTTGAAGGACCATGGTATCCCTGTTCTTAATTGGCCAGCAAACTCTCCTGACCTTAACCCCATAGAAAATCTATGGGGTATTGTGAAGAAGAAGATGCAATACACCAGACCCAACAATTCAGAAGAGCTAAAAGCCACTATTAGAGCAACCTGGGCTATCATAACACCTGAGCAGTGCCACAGACTGATCGACTCCATGCCACGCCGCATTGCTGCAGTAATACAGGCCAAAGGAGGCCCAACTAAATACTGAGTGCTGTACATGCTCATACTTTTCATGTTCATACTTTTCAGTTGGCCAACATTTCTATAAATCCTTTGTTTTTATTGGTCTTCAGTAATATTCTAATTTTCTGATATGATGAATTTGAGATTTTCATTTGTTGTCATTTGTAATCATCAAAATTAAACAAAATAAACATCTGAAATATATGAGTTTGTATGTAATGTATGAATATAATATACAAGTTTCACTTTTTAAATGGAATTACTGAAATCAATCTACTTTTTCATGATATTCTAATTTTATGACCAGCACCTGTATGCACTCACCAAAGCCAGTCTGCAACCTCTAAGGAGCAGACTTGATTTACCAAATGAAACCTATCAAGGCTTCAACCTACCAGTAGGAAAGTCCACCTCAGTTGTGGAGGTGATTGGCAGAGGATCCTCAATCCAGGGTGTAGCATGGACAGCAACGCTCCAGTCACTCCATGTTCCAATCTCTGTGTCCTTAGCAGCTAACTGTTTAATATAAGGATCGTAGGAACAAAAGTGTTTCAAACTAAATCATGAGTAAACTGTTGCCTAAATATCAATTTCCAATATATTGTGAGAGATTTAAGAAATAATAACAACAAAAAAAAACAATAATTGGGTACCTGGATAATGTATTCCTTCCCAGCATAGGCATCAAGGATGGTATGAGAGGTGCTGTCGGATAGCTCCACCTAAACAACAGAAAAAGACAGATTCGTTTGCAAATTTAGACCAAGGAAGAACATGGATGTGCAATTTACAGTATATTGGAATTAAGTTAAGTAATATGAACACTATCCATGCATATATCAGAATTTTCATAAGAAAAACTACTGATGCATACAATTATCATCTGTTAATTGTTCCTGAGAGTGCTCATATGGAGTGGGCATTATGACCCTGGGGATATAAAGTGGTCCAATATGTGAAAATTCCAAGCTTTAAAGGGCAACTATGAGATCTTGAGTCAACATTTGATCCGGATGTCTATCTCCTCTGTAGCTGTGTCCATAAATTATGAGCATGGTATAGAAATACTAGCTTGAGCTTTTAGCTTTCCGATGATTTATGGTTGGAAGACCTATTCACTATTCTGTGAATAGGTCAAGTGTGTGGCTTTAACCTTCAGGTGTTTTACACTATGTTGATGAATTGACTGTAACCTGATGCCCCTCTTCAGCCTCCGCTCTCCTCACATACAAAACTCCTACAGAGCCGAATACATAATTGATGATTACACCAGAGAGAACTGGCATCAGTGCCACATAATTTTCTGACAGAGAATAAACTAAATATTTGAGTAACAGGGGAGTGAATGGGAAAATGATTTGCTGCTCCTCTGTAATTTACGGTTAGAGCATGTGTGTGTGCATGCGTGTGTGTGTTTATTTGCCTGTGGCCTGCTACTGAAATGGTGAAGAAAAAATACAGAGGGGAGGCTATTGCTCTTTCTGTTTGCCCCCTGAAGTCAAATTAAATGATTATGTGAATGCCAGATGCATCCTGCAACCAACAATATCTTTGCACAAAGAAATTGAGATTTCTACTGTATATCTGTATTAGATGGATAAAGTTGCTGGAATAATTCAAGAATCTCAGAATTCAATCTAAACATTTCTAAACAACATCTAAACTTCAAACAATTGGGCTGTTTTTGTGATGTATACCTTTATCTTAATATCAAGTCGATTTTGTGTTATTCAGTTTTATAGTTACGTTTTTTTCCTTTTTGAAAACATTAATTCATTTTTTGTTATTTAATCAGGTTAATCAGTTTACATAGGTTAAACATACACTCATTTCCATGTTTTATGTTGACTTGAATTCATATCTGTGTCCTAACTCAGATCGTTACCCTAACCTAAACTGAATTCACACCTTAGATAAAAACTTAAATCTGAGAGGAGAACTTTTCATTGTGAGGACCAGTTGTGTGCTCCCTATAAATACCTATAAGTCCCCACACTGTAGCATATATATATATATATATATATATATATATATATATATATATATATATATATATATATATATATATAAAATGGCCTTAAGGTGTCCCCTCAAAGGTGACAAAAAAAAAAGCCAACACGCACACATACAGACATTCTTGTTTGACAATAGGTAGTGAAGACCATGTGTTGACTTCCATTGATATTCAGTCATTTTTAATTCTTCCTATGCCCTAATGCTGACAATAACCCTAAATCTAATCATTACCGGTGCATATATCACTCTAATCTATTAGCACAATAGCTTGTGAAGACCTGCCAAAATTTCCTCACTTTGTAAAATGTCCTTACTTCGAAGGCTAAAAACTGGAGCTGGTCCTCACTTTTATTGTAAAACTGGAACACACTGTGTCCCACTCATTGTTCAATTACAAGAAAACAGAAATCTAACTTTTACCAAACCTTTTTGTAAATTAGCAAACTTTCCAAGTTTATCTTAAATCTGATTTGACCCCACAAGTATTAACCCAGGTGGCTGTGTAGACAACATGGCCATAACTTTTCTGTCACTGTTGGTCCCTCTTTAAATTCATAGAGGGACTCCAAATTGCTTCTTAAGGGGTAGTTTCAGAAAGACAGTGAATCAACTAAAGTTAAGGATGGATGAAATATTTTTTTAAGAGATAAAATGTTTATATAAGCCATATTATCACCATCAGCCTTTCAGTTATTTGCTCCTGGGTTCCTGACCCTGAGAGTTACAGAGAGAACTGCATGTCAGAGTAAAAACAAGGCAAAGGCTGGATTTTGTCAGAAAACAGATCTGAAAAATTATACAATAAGATTTCTACAGCGCTTCAAGAAGCCAAAGGCATAAAAGTGTCCATCACTCTAAAATGGAAACTGTCACTGTGAATGAGATTGTGTTTCTTTTTCAGGATGGGAGAATTTTTAAGAAGGGACAGCCATCCAAGCAGCACTGCATCAATCAGGTCTTTATAGTAAGAGGTGCCAGACACAAAACTGAAAGACCCCTGACAGCCTCCTGGGAGTTTGCCAAATGTCTCCTGAAAGACTCTAAGATTATGCAAAAGAAAATCCTCTCCTCTCATGAATTGAAGACTTTACTATTCAGCTGAAATTCCCAACTTTGAAATGCAGAAAAACCAAACAATGAGTATCTCTTTTATATTAATATACTGGTTTACAAATGATTAGGATAAACATGTGAAAATTATGTAAAACAGCAACTAAAAGCAGTACAACCTAACATGAGGAAATCAATGCTACAAACATATGTCTATGTTCAACCTTGCTGAATGTACCCTACATTTGTGCAACTTAAACATTTCCTTCTTATAGACCAGCATTGTGACTTACCTAAAATCCCTACATGGCGTACGGCCTGCTGGTTTATAGTAAACACATACAAATTATATTGGAAGTCATAAGGCTGAAGTTTTGCTCATAATGCCTGATTTATTAGATAGATATACTATACATATAAATGTAAACATAAATTGCGAGAACCATATAATAATAACAATAATAATAATTGAACTTTATTCATCTCACACTGTGTGGCACACAGGGATCAATGTGGGGTTGAGGGTCTTGCTCAGGGACCCATAGTGGCAGTCCATGGTAGTGGGGCTTGAACTCAGAACCACTGGCAGTCAAGCTAAATGCTCAAACCATTTTGCCACCAATTCCACAATATTTAATAAAACACTTTATTTTGGTTTTGATGGCAATGGCATAATTCAGTTTTTGACACAATTGTATATAAAGTTAATAAGGGGTTCATAAAGAGTTCCTTTGTTACAACCCTATTTGCACTTGTATCTATTTCACTCTGGTTAAGGTATCTGTGATTTACAGGGAATTGTTATACCAAGACTTTCATGATGACTCTTGTTCGCAAAGTAACGCTGATAGTGACTGTTACAGCTGGTGATAATTTGTGTGCAAATGTAAGTGTGCAGGTGCCAGTTGCTGATTGGTTCCAGGATGATGACATCATGACATCCCATTGGTGGCTTCCTGGAAGTGACAACTATAAAAAGGCTGCTGATGTGGACTTCCTGGTCCCGTCCTCCACTCTTCCCAACTGGCCACACTGTTAACACCTGAACATTCTGGAGCTTGTAAGAGTGAGCTGCCATTTCTGTTGCTTAAGTTTTCTCCTGTTTTTCTTAGTTAGGGAGGTAAGGTGACTGTCATTTGTTTACTTATACTGCAGTAGGTAAGTTGGTTCATTTCTTTGTTTTAGACAGTTGCCTTTTGTTTGTTATTTTTGGCATATAGCTCTCTCTGAAGTCATTTGCTCCACTTATGTTGTAATTTTAGAATTATTTTCCTTTTTGTAAATAAATCACTTTCTAAAGATGTGCAACTTTGTATGTGTGAGCTACTTGGGATGGGAAGAGGATGGATCCACTCTTTAATATGTTATGGTCTGGCAACCCTAGACGGGTCGTAACAGTGACCATCATTCGGAATCTTGCTGTTGATCTCTCTTTCCATTTAACTTCATTAGCTACCCTTATCATATTATATCATGCAATGGATCCAGTACATTTAGTTTGAGATAATGTATAATGGTTTAAGCAATTTTTTTTAAATGTTTGATGTAAAATTTTGTGTGTTTTGAATCTTTTCACTTTGTGTAAATGTGAACAGAAGGGAAAGCTCTTGCAATACATATGCACTATTTCACCTTTAATCAACACTGAGCAGATAAGCCTTCCAGACACATGAGAAATGTAAATACGCAGCCACACACAGGGAGCAGGGAGAGACAAATACATTTTTATCACATTACCCCGTACCACCGCCACCACGGTACAAAGGCCTTTTTGGCAGCAAAGGCAACAGCTTTCCATCCATCTCCCAACTGCATCACCACCCACCCAGACATCCTCCTGTAATACATGAGATTAAATGCCTTTTTCATTGCTCCCTGTTTAGCCACTTGGTGTCCCGGTAATATATGCGCCTCTCTGGAAATGTTTATCTCCAAGCAGTTTATGGCATATTCTCCTACTGGTTTAAACCTAAGTGCTGATGCATAGAAGCTCAAACAGCATTGCAACACACATTTCTGTGGAAAAGTATTAAATCCCATTTTTTTATTTGGTAATGCTTGATTGTTGAAGATGGTTTGATCTTTTTTTATTTTTATCATTAATCTATCCATCCATTTATTGTCAATATCCACTTATCCTTTGAGGATCATGGGGATGCTGGTGCCTATTCTCACCCCTCATGGGGTTAAGAGTCAGGGTACACTTTGGACAAGTGGTCATTCAATCACTGGAATAGCTTTTTTTTTTTTATAAGAAGAAGAAAAAGGTAACCAGGCCTGATTACTTCCAGGTGCCTTGTGGATCCAGGGAATGACAGAAAAAGGCTACAGTATAAGATCTTAAATGGCAAGACGTCATGTCCCAATTTAAAGAAATTCAACAACAAATTGGAAACACAGTCATTGACATCTATCAGTTTGAAAGGCTTTTAAATTGCAGCCAACCACAGTGTGAGCGTTAAATTACAAAAGGGGGAAACATACGTAGAACTCCAGTCAACCTTTCCCAGGCTAGATGGACTACCATGATTTCTCCAAGATCCCTGGCAGTGTTAATAGTGCTTATAATTGAGTTATTTCAAATCTTCAATAGCAAGTGATAACTCAATGAATAGGACACCCAAGTTTTGGGTTAAAAGGGCAACTGCTTAATCAC